GTGAACCCTGTGAAGTCATACTGATTATGTGACTGCAGAGGCTTCACCAGAATTCAAAATGAAGACAGGCTGGTACAGATGCCAGGACTATACTGTTATTACAAATGTTTGGAAATGCTCAGCCAGACATGCACTCTGTATGTCTCGTCCTCTGGTTTCATTTTCCTCCTCAGAAAGTGTTTTAATCCTCGGTGTGACACTCGTTGACTTTGGCGGTACAGTTGGCAGAGACGGTGTGACAATGTTCTTGGCCAAAAATGTGTTTTGTTGTGACTTTGCTGCCTCTGACTTCAACTTGGGTGTGGAGAATACTGTAACAAGGCTCATGCATTATTATTCTCAGCAGCCTGAGGAAGGAGTGTTTATTCAAGAATAATATTGCTATTTTTTAGTTCATGTAAATTTGTGGCTCAGACGTTGGAAATAATGCACACTCCACCTCACATGCCTTCTTCTAAAAGCCTTGGAGAGGAAACTTGGTGAGAAAAAACCCAGGTTGAAACATTTTGTGTATATATGTGTGCATTCTTGAGCATGCAAAACAATCCTATACGTCAGTGTTGAATTATTCAAGTTCAGAATACAAAAGAGGGAGGAGGGCGAGCGGTCCAGAGTCTTATGGCTTTCTGGCTCTGGGGCTAGCTAATCAATGACGGCGGGGCTTCAGGCCTTTCTCCAGCCCTCCACAACCTGATAGTATAATTGCATCTCCATTCTTATTAGAAAAGAAAAGGAAATCAATTCTAGTTCTAGTGTATGTAGCCCATTCTGCAATCCTCTGAGGGGCCGAGAGGATTTTCTCTCCCGAGTAGATCTCTGATATAGAAGGCACCGCTCATACAATGAAAATATTAAGAAGAAAAAAAGTCTGTTGGTAATACTTTTTATAGTCTTACTGTGAGTCTCTCGCCAGCTCTTTCACCCACTTTCCATCACTTTCAATCAATTCCTTCACTTTCTCCCACCCTCCCAGTACCACCTCAGTCATATTTCCAGCTACGATGTTCCACCAAGATGCCCTCCGAGGCTGTCATGGATGCCCCGCAAAACTGCATTTCAACTGCTTATGGTGGAACTCTGTGTGACAGCTTCCATTGGTCTGTCTCTCCCTTCTTTCTGCTGTCTGCTGTCATCCTGTAATCATCCACGACGGTTGAGCAGAAAGCTCTGGCGCACCGACTCACTGTCCAAACACAGCAGCGCAAACAAGTGGTTCCAACTTAAACAGGCTTCGTTGTCTACTGTAACAGAGCGCTGTTAGATTGGACCTCTCGTCTTCGTGGTTCATTGAACGTGACATTTCAGGCGGTCTTGGTCCGCACCGGTGTTCGTTTTAACTGAACTACACAGATGAAGTAGGGATGTGTTTAGAGCTGAGCTTATGAGTCTCAAAAGTGGTTTCATATTATTAACCCTCACTTTATGAAAGCAGGTGGAGTCTGACTACACTCAACCCTAACTCTTGTCCACCCACACAGACGTGGATACTGGAGATGTGAGAAGATGCCATTAATTGCGAATTAAACCTTGAGAAACAAAAGTCAATAAGTCACTATTCAAAGACAGCATGAGGGACATGAGGGAATTGAGAAAGGTTCAATCACGCGCAAATGTCCTTTTATGCAAGGGAGTATTGCGATTCCCTCAGGAAACAGAACCACGTCGTTGTATTCAGGGACGGATCTAGAAAAATATTCACGAGGTGGCATGAAGACTTTATCGCAAACAATCACATATATCAATATTTGCTTAGAAAAGCCCCCAAATGAAGATATTTGAACTTAAAAACATCACATTATTGTGGCCCAATTAGTAAAGCATTGAATAGAAATATCTAAATGTGGCATTTGAAATCAATAAATTGATATTTCCAAATTTTCAGATATTTATGTCTTTTGTAATTACATTTTTAACAAATTTTTAAAAATGTAATCTGAATTAATTGTGATATTTGACAGCATATGGCACCCAACTGGGGTGGCACCTGGGTTGGCCGGGCATGTCACCCCTCTGGATCCGCCCCTGGTTGTTTTCTATTCCAACCAGAGGAAAGCCGATCACTGGGTCAATGGCTTCCAGATTCTTTCTGACACAACTTTAAAGAGTTCAGTAGGGAAAAAAAGGATACTTGGACACAACTCACTTGGGAAATGAACTACTGTAGCTATGTTAGTGGCAACAGGAGAAAACAACTGCCTAATCAGAGCTGAGTATGTAAATGCTCAGTGCTCAACACGACCGCAAGCTTCAGGTTCGTTCTACTCTGACTCCATATGCGTGGACACAGTAGTCACAGAGAAAGGGGTAAAGAAGACCATTCTTTATTGCAACGCTTTTGTCCTCACTGCAGGGCAATGGTTCTCAATATCTACCCCCAGGGGTCTTTGAATTCTTTTAATTTCACTATTATTTAATTGACTAGAGGTTAGTCCAGTGAGAATGCATAAGAATGATTCTTCTATTCATGTTACACACTGTTAAGACTTTCTATACTGCAGATTATCAGACAGGGGTCCCTGGCACTACATCTTATCTGCAGCCTGATGTGTCTCAATTTGTGGGTCCCTGACACCTAAAAGGTGGAGAACCCCTCCTCTATAGAGTCCTCTATAGAGTCCTATTAGAGGACTTGGACCATGTTCCTAGAACTAGTATAACATACTTCATCTCTGTTAGTACAATTTAACCACAGTCAGCTTGGAGTCATAATCATAAGGAAAAGCAAAGGTTTCACAGAAAAATCCAAAATGTTTTTATATCGGTGTGGTGAAAGGAATTGTTTTGTTTTGATTTTCAGGAGCATTTTGAGTGCATCTGGTTTATGAGTTTATGTCAGGGAGCTGTTCATTGACTCTGTTTTAGATGCAGTTTGATGAACATCACAAAAACCTCTTCACAAGCTCACACACACACACACACACACACACACACACACACACACACACACACACACACACACACAGTTTCTATGCAAGTTAAAATGATTCATCTGCCAGTATTTTATGACGAGGCATTACTTGAAGAGGGTTGCAGTTCAACAGCACCACCAACATTTCTATACGGGGACTGCACTGAAGGCAGTATAACATATGACTGCTTAAAGTTTTTTATTTGAGGGTTTTTAAACATCGTATGTGGCATGTAATATCTAAAGGTATTTTTTTAGCCTAAACAATGGCTTTGTTCATGCACAATGACTCACTTATTATTGTATTTTCTGTGTGTGCTGCACTCTGGCAGAGCTGCTGCAAGAATTCTGTCTCGGTAAGAGAGTCTTTGAAGCGAAAGAATAAGGTTAGACCACAAAGCCCTGGAGCAAAACTGAAGAAAAAAAAAATACTAAGGAGCACACACACAGTGGATGCTGTATTTATTGTATTTCACAGAGAGGGAGTGTAAAAATGATGTGGGGTTGGCAGAGAGGTCTTGGAATTTATACTGATTGTATTTCTTACAGTCCAGAAAGAAAGGTAAAGAGAGAGGTGGCTCTACAGGATATTAATCCCCTAAACCTTAATTTTCTAATTCTGTTTCTTTTTAAAGTAACACAAATCCGTTTTTTTTCTACTTCTGGGTGCTTTAAAAATCCTGTTTTAGTTCAGTTTTAACACTATTTTTTTAAGGGAATCGGTATAGTCATGTGTGATTGTACATTATGCCTATGGGGCTGTTCACTTCCTCCGTGCACGTAACAGTGGAATAGCTCAATCCTCCCTGCCTCCGTCTCCCGGGCCCTGCATGCATCATTAAGCTGACCAACGCTGTGCTCGATGTGGCTGTGCAGAGGAGAAGAGAGACATAAACAAGCTCCAAGCACCTCACTAATGCTGTTTGTCTTCTTTATGGCCCATTTTGCACACTGAACATGGATGTGGCTGTAAGGAGCTCTGCTATGGTAATTAAAAGAGGGGCCAGTCGACCATGCTGCTGTTTGTGGTAATTTTCTGCATTGCTGCTATTTCTTTCAGGGTGTGAGCTTCATTAGCCATATTCCTCCATCCCAAAATCCGCTGAGTTCTTCATTAGTCGATAACCAGCGTGGCACAGTTGGTAAGGACGATTCAAACCCACAACATCGTGACTGGAACTGTGGATGTTTTTCTTTTTACTGAGGCTTCTCAACATTTTGTTGCTTTGTAACACATTTTATATCTTTGGGGAGAGGAGAAATGAAACAAATACACCCTACAGAAACAATGCATTTCCTTTATGGATGCCATAAAATACTTTTTATGCCTGCATGCTCCCTCCCAGGAGTGCTGTTTTACAGACTCCAATGATCTGTGTGTGTGAAGCTCCCTCTCTCCACTGACTCACTGAGCCTTCCTGAGGGGCCCCATCTCTCTGTCACATCCACTTACTGAAAACACACCTATCTGTCCAGGTGTCACCAGCTGAAGAGGAACCGATGCTGGACACTGTGTCGGCCATCCACACTGCAGCGCTCTCCCCACAAAGACCAACAGCTCCTATCTCAGTGGTTTGAGATGCACCTGGCTGCCACTCAGCCTCACCATCCTGCAGCTGGAGGATTATGGTAATGCTACCGTAAGCCGGTTTTGTTTAACAAGGCACATATTGTGTGTTGGGACCTGCCTACGTTTAGGCTTTGAATAAAAAAAAGGTTAATTTTAAGCACTGATATGTGATACTGAGCTGTTCCTTTTCACTGTGGGCTCAGATGAAAGGAAAGTAAAGGAAATAAAGCTTCTTCAGAGATACCAGCTGTCAGTCAAAAGGGCAGTCATTGTGCAAGAAAAGAAATGGCTGTCTACCACAATAAGCTTAGGTCTACAGTACGCAATATTTTTTATTTTATAGGAGTTCCATAATGCTGGGAGAACATAGTTTTCTCAGATGCAGCAGCAGGGAGTCCTATAAGTTAATTTAACTTCAGGTAATTGCTTAATCGGCGCTACAGCATGTGCTTCCCTTCAACTCAGCCGCTACTCCTTTCAGGTAGTTTTCAGGGAGTTATTATCTCTGGTGCTTGAGCTTACCTTTATGAGTTTGCACCTGATCTGAGCGGACACCATGTGGCTGTTCCGCAGGTTGCCCACACGGAACATGAGGCACAGTTTGCCGTCTCGCTGTGAAATCACCGCGTCCTGACTGAACATGAGCGTCTCTGCGCGTTTCTTAGGTTGGGACATTTTTATGAACATGCAGCCGATGAGAAAGGCGTCCACTATGGAGCCCAGCAGCGACTGGAACAAGAACAGGATGATGCCTTCCGGGCACTTCTCGGTAATGTACCGGTAACCGTAGCCGATCGTGGCCTCAGTCTCGATGAAAAACAGAAAAGCTGAGGGGAAGTTGTAAACATTGGCCACACAGGGGGTGTAGGTCGAGTCGTGGCCGTGATTGAGATCCCCTCTGATATAAGCGATGATCCACCACATAGATGCCATGACCAGCCAGGCGATGGTGTAAGTTAGGATGAAGATGAGCAGGTTCCATCGCCACTTTAGGTCTACCAAAGTGGTGAAGAGGTCAGAGAGGTACCTGCTGGTCTCTCCACCGAGGTTTCCGTGCTGCACATTGCAGCGACCGTTCTTGTCCACGAAGCGCTGGCGTTTCTTCTTGACCGGAGCAGAAAAAGTGGTAGCTCGATTTGTGTTAACCACCTGGTAGTCTTCGCCAAATTTCCTACGAAGTGCCGCCATTTGAGCTCTCCTGATATAAAAGGGGAAATAACTTGCTGTTTAATCCATGTTTTTGATTGTTTGAGCCTCCAAAACACTGGTTACCTGCAGTGCGTAAAATGCGCCATGGCCACTTTAGCGCGCACAGTAAATCCTAGGAATAGAAAAAAAAAAAAAAATCACGCGTATGTCAGCGCTTTTAAAGCCCTGATGTTATTCGTTTATTTAAAAATATCCACTTTTCTTCCGGATGTTTTACATGACAACAGAAGGTCGCTGGCTGTGGCTGTGCGCTCTGCTCGCTCTCCACTCTGACTGGCGCGGTGCTCGCCAGCGGAGCGAAATACGAGGAGCTGTCTACCATTCACAGCTTCTGGTGGGCTGTAAAGGATGAAGAGGGAAGTGTGTGTGTGTGTGTGTGTGTGTGTGTGTGTGTGTGTGTGTGTGTGTGTGTGTGTGTGTGTGTGTGTGACGGAGAGATGCGCGGAGAGGGAGGGAGGAGTGAGGGGGGAGTTACGCAAGACTGCGTTTGTGTGTAAAGAGAGAGATAGAGAGTGAGACAGGTGGACAGTTTAATTCAAGTTCAATTAAATCTGTGGGCGACTTAATGAATATATACATTTATTGGTTGATTAATTTACTCCGTCATTCTTCATACGCGCAGTGTCTTTACATTCTAGCTGATCTCTGTGTAATTAACACAAAGAGTCACAGAAATCCAAAGTGATGAGGTTGGAAGATCTTTGTGCTTGTAGTTAAACTCTGCCATCTACTGGAAGGACGATCTATGTGCATATTAATAACCCTCTAACCGTCTAACAGGGGCAACGCTGAGGACATTGACTAATTGAATTGCAGATAGGCTACAGGGGTTCGGTGTGCTTCTGTTAACCTGTGCCAAATTGCCAAAGCTTATTAAAATGCGGTAATAATGTCAAGTAACTGAACAGTAATGGATACAATTTATACAAAAGCTGTTTGAATTTGAAAACGTCTTCCTGAAATCTTGCTATTTGCATTTTTGCTCACTCGCTTTAAATAAATAAAATGTTACAACTCACAGTCCAAAGGCTTTTCCCATTGTAAGTCTGACATTAAATCTGTGCGGCTCCTCTTTCCCCGTGAAGCCTTTCTTATTGATTTAGACATTGGACAAGGAGGATTTCCTGGACTAGTATCCTCCCAAAGGAGAGTCCTAAATGGGATGCTTCGTCCTTGCCTCTTTGTTCCCCTTGTTTTAATCAGATAGAGCACAAAGGTCGGCACTGCATGTCAGCCGGTCTACTACTATTATGCATAATTACAGTTTCAGTCACACAGGTGGTATAAAGACGCCTTTGACTGAGCTCATCAGCTGACACTCATCTCAAGTGTTCAGACCTTTAATTTGTGTTGAAGTATCTCTGATATTAAAGAGGTCAAAAATCAGCTCATTACATCGTTTATTGATGAAGTGCTCTTAAGATACCCTTTCAAGATATTTCCAGCACTTGAGCTACTTTTCTAGTTGCTGTTCTGGGGTGACGAAACACACCAGGAGATGTTTAAAGTCCTCCTCTCTGAGAAATCTGTTTTCTACATGACATGTCTGTGAGTAAATCAAGTGCACCGTTAGGGACCCTAAAGAAGTCTTAACATACACTCAGTTGCCAGTTTATTAGGTACACACAGCTAAATGCCAACAGTCCTGCAATAAATACTTCATGAAGGTCGTAATGTTCAGATTTGGTTGGAACTGTTTTAGAGACGGGTTGATTTACTGTAACACAATAAGTTATTTTAACTGTTGAAAATTTAGTAACAGTAACTCAATTTTGTAAGTTATAAAAGATTCTTGATGAACTTTAACTAAGTTACATAAATATTCCTCATTGAGTACGTTTTACTAAGTATTTTGTTTTTATAGCACAAATAAAGATTATAACATTAAGTCAGTGTCACTTTAAATTACTAGTAAAAGCTGCTTCATCTTGAGTTTCAACATTTTTTTTGTTAACTTATCAGAACTAACAGTTTTGGATGATGTAGGTGCTATTGAACAGTTTGATATACTCATTGATATAAAAGGGGGGTGGACAAAACCTTGTTAATAATTTTTAAATAATATCAAAACCCAGACAAAAAACAAACAGCTAATGAACTGTAACAATACTACAACTTACAACCAGACAACAAGCCGCACAAATATGAACAAACACCATCCAATATCCTCAGGTGACACAGAAGATGAGGAAGTAGTGCAATTACCGATAGACCTTTGGGCTTTAGATCAGATTCAGCTTGTCATTTCATTGTCTGCTGTGGTATTTAAGTGTATCACCTTTCAGTTAAAGTGAAAGACAGATCTGATATTTCACCGTCCCAGCTGCTGCTGCTGCGGTTGATAAAGCTGACATCAAACAACAAATTGGTATTTGAACTGCAACTGTCACACTGATCTAACATTTATTTTGAAAGAAAAAAAATGAAAGCTGTAAACACAAACATTATTCAGAAATGATATTTGCATCACAGATAACTGAATGCTTGGAAAAGGTTTTCATGTATCACAGGTGCAGTGTGTAGAGCCCTAACACAACAACTATTCTAACATATTTCTAAGAAAGATATTTTCATTACAAATAGAAAACACTGTGTACTAGTGTTGGCACTGAATAAGATTGAAGCTTCATTGTGCTGACTCCCACTGATGTCTGCAGTGTTGAAATAAGCAGTTTGGTGGTGATTTCAGGCAGACAGGTTTAAATCACTGCAGGCAACCTCCTCCTGATCTATTTGATATTGATCAATTGTGTTGTGGTGGAAAACGTAATTGCTGCTTGGATTATATTCAGAGGCAATGTTTTTTCTGAGTGAATGAAGCACTACATTTATGAACCGCAGGTGGATGGTGGGTTTGCAAACCAAGGACTGAGCTGACTGTGGAAAAGTTTAGAAAACAAAAACTACATTAGGGTTTCGGATGAATCCTAATAAACACGTCACTGTGAATTTTTTCTGTATTAAAGGTCCAGTGTTAACATTTCGGAAGACCTATTAGCAGAAATTGAATATAATATAATATAATAGTGGGTCGCCGTCCTTGGAGTCCGCCGTGTTGAAACGTCATGTTTCTACAGTACTCATTCCCACTTTGTCAGCGGTGTTCAGTTAGTTGCAATCTGAAACTTCACCACTAGATGCCACTATATCCTACACACTGGTCCTTTAAGATATCAGAGTAACTGAGGAGACCTCTCCTCCCGGTAAAAACCTCTGGAACGGCTGGATCTTAAGTTATCAGAGAAACAAGCAGAGCTAATGCTAGCAGGATAGTAGCCGAACAGTATCAGAGAAACACTGATTTTTGAGGTGAAACCGCTTTATTAAGTGTTTTTTTTTTTAAAGATATTCTGCCTTTATTTGATAAGACAGGTGAAGATAGACAGGAAAGATTCTGGAGAAAGTAGTCGCCAAAGAGTTGTGTGACTTTCTACATAACAATAGTTTATTTGAGGATTTTCAGTCAGGATTTAGAGTTCATCATAGCACAGAGACAGCTCTGGTTAAAGTTAATAATGACCTTCTGACTGCTTCTGACAATGGACTTGTCTCTGTACTTGTATTATTAGATCTTAGTGCTGCATTTGACACCATTGACCATGATATTCTTTTACAGAGACTTGAGCATCAAATTGGCATTAAAGGAACTGCCCTAACCTGGTTTAAGTCATACTTATCAGATCGTACTCAGTTTGTACATGTTAACGATGAATCCTCCATAAATACTAAAGTTAGTCATGGAGTTCCACAAGGTTCTGTACTTGGACCAATACTATTTACTTTATATATGCTCCCTTTAGGCAACATTATTAGGAATCACTCCATTAACTTTCACTGTTATGCAGATGATACGCAGTTATATCTATCAATCAAACCCAATGAAATTAATCAATTATCTAAATTACAAACATGTCTTAAGGACATAAAATCCTGGATGACCTGCAATTTTCTGATGTTAAACTCAGAAAAACCGAAATTCTTGTTCTTGGCCCCAAAAACCTTAGAGACTCATTGTCTAAAGATATAGTCACTCTAGATGGCATTAACTTGGCCTCTAGCACCACTGTCAGGAATCTTGGAGTTATCTTTGATCAGGATTTGTCATTTAACTCCCACATAAAGCAGACCTCTAGGACTGCCTTCTTTCATTTACGTAATATTAGAAAAATTAGACACATACTATCACAGACAGATGCAGAAAAACTAATCCATGCATTTGTTACTTCAAGGCTGGATTACTGCAACTCTTTATTATCAGGTTGCCCCAATAAGTCCATTAAAACGCTCCAATTAATTCAGAACGCTGCAGCACGAGTACTGACAGGAACTAGAAAAAGAGATCACATCTCTCCTGTACTAGCTACTCTGCATTGGCTCCCTATAAAATGTAGAATTGAATTTAAAATACTCCTCCTCACCTATAAAGCTCTTCATGGTCAGGCCCCTTCATATCTTAAAGAGCTCATAGTACCCTATTACCCCACTAGAACACTACGTTCTCTGAATGCTGGGCTACTTGTGGTTCCTATAGTCTCTAAAAGTAGAACAGGAGCCAGAGCCTTCAGTTACCAAGCTCCTCTCCTGTGGAACCAGCTTCCAGTTGTGGTTCGGGAGGCAGACACCCTCACCACTTTCAAGAGTAGGCTTAAGACATTCCTCTTTGATAAAGCTTATAGTTAGGGCTGGATCAGGTGAGTCCTGAACCATCCCTTAGTTATGCTGCTATAGGCCTAGACTATCGGGGGATTTCCCATGGTGCACTGAGCTACTCTCTTCCTCTCTCTTTCCGCACTCATTCATGTTCCATTAATGCATGTTACTAACTCCACTTCTTCCCCGGAGTTCTTGTGCTTTCTCGTCTCGCAGGTTCTCATGGATCCTGGTGGAGCCTCCTGCCATGGTCCTGCTTGACTGCCATTGCCAATACTGTTGTTGCTGTGCACCTGTCTGTCTGTCTGTCGCTCTCTCTCTCTCTCTCTCTCTCTCTCTCTCTCTCTCTCTCTCTCTCTCTCTCTCTCTCTCTCACCCCAACTGGTCGAGACAGACGACCACCCACCTAGAGCCGGAGGATCTGTCCTAGGTTTCTGCCTTTTAACAGGCAGTTTTTCCTTGCCCTTGTCGCCAAGTGCTTGCTCATGGTGGTACTGTTGGGTCTCTGTAATTAATGTTAAAGAGTTCGGTCTAGACCTGCTCTATTTGAAAAGTGTCCTGAGATAACTTCTGTTATGAATTGGCGCTATACAAATAAAATTGAATTGAATTGAATTGAATTGAAAGGGGGCTGGCATGCAGCAAAGGGCCGCAGATTGGAATCCAACCCTGGCTGCTGTGTTAAGGACTCAGCCTACATGGGGTGCACGTTCTACCAGGTGAGCTACCATGTGCCTTTATTCAGTTGGCATGTTTAATCTCCCTTTCTACATACTGAATTTAAATTTAAAAGTCTTGTCCCAGAAAAACCGCAACAAAATCTTTAAATTTAGCAACAAAAGTTGTAAGTTAAGTCGCTTGTTAGACATAATGTGCAGACAGGCTTTGTTAAATCTGTCGAGATTTAACTGCAACTGTGTTCATATGAGGCTGTAATGTTGTAACTTCTCCACAAAATCAGTCAAAGACCTAATCAATATTGACTGAGCGTCTGATTTCTTAACATATACCACTGAATATCAACCATCAGCGCACTAAATAACATCATCCGAATGTTGTTTTATCTAACACAACACAAGTCTCACCACTGCACAGGTTTCTAGTAACTGCACAGGGACTTCTGTCTCAATAGAGGGAACTCGTATACGGCTGTGATCCTCCTAACAATTGAGGATTAGAGTGACGGCCAGGATCGCCATCTGTTATGTGTAGGCATCAGGCTTTCCCAGTGAGAGGAATCCAAATCAGCACAGCAGAGGCAATCACCAAACCTTGGCTCTGCACTGTTCACAGTTTTCTTGGGTTCTGTTATTAGATGAGGAAGGAAATTTGACATTCGCATCCAAATTACTTGTGGTGTTTTGTGTGTGTGTGTGTGTGTGTGTGTGTGTGTGTGTGTGTGAGGTTGGGATGGATTCAGGGGAGGAGGGAGAGGGAACAAAGACATGCTGCACAAGCTGAATTATTAATGAGGAGTTGGAATTTATAACCATCTGTGTCATATGATACACAAATTACCACAGATTCCAGACATGAAAATATTGGCCTGTTTTTCATGTTCCTCATCCTTCACATCAGCGGTCTGTGTGCAGGTACGGACATGCTCACTCCTCTATCCCCCCTTCACAATGAGGCCAGATTACTCCAAAGTGGAGCCAGTGGCACACAGAGTCGTAATGTCTCTGACCTTAATGTCCCAAACACTCAGCCGACTCAGTAGGGGCTGGTGGAAAGTTGAGCTATATAGTGACATTTACTAACCTGAGCTGAGATTGATGTATACGACATGACATTGAAATAACACCACGCATACAGGATGTCCTCTCTCTTTGTGTGTTAGTTTATGTGTGTGTGTGTGCTCAAGCTTGAAACTATTACTATACTTCTAGAGATGCTAAAAGCTGTTACTGTGGTTATCAGTGTCTGTAATATAGATTTTTGTATTAACAATGGATCGCATGTCCAGCTGTATGTGAAAGGGGGTCCAGAGAGAGTCATCACTCAACACTGCAGTTCCTCCCTGCACTGTTTTAGCATCTTTTAGTTCATTGTTTTGGTTTTTTGGGCTGTAACTTTGCTGTTTTCAGTGAAAAACATTGACAGTATATACACTGAACATAATTATAAAGGCAACACTTTTGTTTTTGCCCCCATTCATCATGAGCTGAACTCAAAGATCTAAGACTTTCTCTATGTACACAAAAGGCCTATTTCTCCCAAATATTGTTCACAAGTCTGTCAAAATCTGTGTTAGTGAGCGCTTCTCCTTTGCCGAGATAATCCATCCACCTCACAGGTGTGGCATATCAAGATGCTGATCTCATGTTGAATGGGGGCAAAAACAAAAGTGTTGCGTTTATAATTTTGTTCAGTGTATACTGGACAGAGCTTCCGGCTCTGTGAAGTGAAGCCAAGGTGGAATTCTTAAACCTGCAGTCTGTCTAATGGCCAGCAGGGGGCAGCTCCATGGGCTGCAAAAAAGAAGTCTGATAGTATTGAGTCATCTAGAAAAATTACCAAACTTCTCACTTGAGAGAGGTTTATGGTCTCAGTTATCAGCATATATAAAGATGGGCAATGAACCTGACTGTTATCTTTTTAAATGCTGGAATTAACCTATAAAATATACAGTGACTCTACCAGGATGCTAAAATCTCCAGTTTACACACTGTCTCAAATATGAATAAATTATTAATTTGTTAATAAAGTCGGCACCCAAATCCTCTATAAAGATGCCACATGAACCAAAACATTACTTGATTAATATCTGTTTCTTGATTACATTCAAATTGTAAAAATGAATGAACTTCTTTTTCCACCATATTCTCAAATTCTAATCACTGATTTTTCCTCCAGACTCGGTTCATCAGGCCGTCATACATATTTAAGCACCCCGAGATGAGACTGATTTTCAAAGATATCAATGTCAACTGTGTGGGTTATCATCATGGGTATATGAAAGGAGCAGGGACATCAAATATGCACTCACTGACCTTTTTTGCATTACTCTACTGTCTGCATTTCAATTATGCCCTGCTTTCTGAATTAATTGGTTCATTAGCAAAGGCAATTAGGAGTGGGGGCGCGAAGCCTGACTCTGATGTGCTTTTAGATGTATACATAGTCATTCATCCGGCAGATCTAAGAGCTTCCCTCCTAAATACATCTGTCATGATCATCTGAATGGCCGGTCTGAGACTCTATTCTGGTGGTTTGAACAATCAGCCATTTGGACTTAAGGATCTTTATTCACTACTGTCATTCAAGGTGGGTTTTTTTCTCCTTTCTTTTATTAACGACTAAGAAAAACACAACATCAATAGTTATTGAAAGTGAAAAAACAACAACAAGACTAAAGTAAACACTAAAGCAGAGACCGTTAGTTACTATTGGATATGTGCAGTAACCTGTGTCCGTGTTGGAGAGCAATTATTCAAAATATTGTACATAAGATTACATTTTGAGGTAATTTTGTACTTTTGTGCTATAATATACGTCTTCTTCTTCTTCTAAACAACATTTCAGAGCTGAATATTGTGTTTTTTACTTGTAATACTTGCTGCAGGTTAAGGTTTTATACAAAAATCATATGATCTTATATATACATATGACACCCTCTGTCTTTGAACTACACACCGGTATAGGGTGTAAAGTTAATATGCTTTCACTGCTGCTTACATGTTACAATGCATGAAATATTACCCGAAAGATGTAATTCTGCATAACGATAGGCTTTAACTTTGAGAAATGTTTGATTATGATGTTTGTACTTTATATACTTTATACTATGTATTTAGCCCGATAACATTTTGAAGGCATTACTTTTAACTGAGTATCTAAAATATGTCTGGATTTGTTTTATAGTATTTATATAGTGAGGTAGGTCATTAGGGCATCTTTCAATTGTGAAATTTAAACTCTGCCTTCCCTTAATTGAATTTGTGGCACTTAAGTGAAGCATCTGTGTACAGGACATCTAAAGGAACATCTAAAGGGTTATACAGAATTTGGAGAGCTTATGGTCTGTTAATATTTTGGCAGTCGCTTTCTGTGTCTCCACTTTGCAAACAAGATGTAAGAATTACACAAAAGGTAGGAAACGTAGCTCAGCTATTAGATATGTGTGTATTTACATAGCACATATTCTTTTATACTGTGGACTTTTGCACATTCCTTTACTTTGACCCTCTAACCCTAAACCAGATTAAAACACAAAAGGTTGCCATCGCAGCCCCTGAGCTGTGGAACTGAACAGAAGAGGTCAGGATAATTATTGTTTTATGTTGTTTATCTATTGCTACGTTTTACAGTGTTTATTCTATATATTGTTACTGATGGTGCTGTGGTTCTTAGTGTTCTGTTGTTTTTGTCCTGTAAAAGCACTTTTTAAACCGGATTTTGAAAGATGCTATTTAAATAAAGTTTATTATTATTGACTGTCAGCGGTGAAACAAGACTTTATTGAGCCCACACTGGTAAAATTCACTCTACAGCAGTTCCACATACAACACAACAAATTAGAAAATACACATCAAATAAAACATAGAAAAATGCAAAATATAATGAAAACAGAAAAAAAAAAGAGAGTTATATGTACACTATATACAGCTTTTTATACACAGATGTGACTGATATGGAACAGGCCACAGCAGGTGGTACAACATGGTGTAAAAAAAAAGGACAAAAATATTTACAACAGAGGAAATATATAATATATATATATATATATATATATATATAGAGAGAGAGAGAGAGAGAGAGAGAGAGAGAGAGAGAGAGAGAGAGAGAGACAAGGCTTTGAATATGCAGTATAGGTCTAATATGAATAATTTGCATATAATAAATGTATTTATTTCGCACCATTTAATACTTTTACTGTGCAAAAACTGCACAGAACAGGTAATAGATAAATAAATAAATAAATACAAATAATAACAAATTAATTAATAGACCTGCTTTTAAGGATTGCTGAGAAGATTTTTTAAAAATATTGTTGAAATATACTAACCCCATTTTCCATTACCTTCAATAATAATACTAAAAATAGTAACTATTAATTATAATCTGAGTTTTTATTTTTTAAATTTTTTTATTTTTTTTTTAATTGCGTCTCTGCTCAGGACGCGTCCGCCTGCGGTACCCACAATGCTCCGCGCCGAGGCAAGATGGAAGAACCCAGCAGCTGCGGGAGAACAATGTTTTGGCTCTAGACACTGAAACGAACAGCTGAGGGTGAAACTACGCGAGCCAAACCCGCGGGTCATGCTCCTGCACCGGTAAGAACGATCCATTTCAGGAAGAACCCCGAACTTTGGGCCCGAACCGAACCGCACGCAGCCGTTTTAAAAACTCCTCGTTTTACCGGACAGACAACAAAGCGCAGCGCACTGACGTTACCTCACCGCTAGTTAGCTGCTAAAGTTAGCCGCCTCGGCTAGTCGCTGCGAGCATCATTGTTCGCCGGAGTTGTACGGGCCGTTTTGTTATGGGTCCCCGCTGGTGTTACCGCCGGCCCGTCACTTACAGCCGCCGCCTCCACTCTCCGGGAAGCGGAGCCGGCGAGCTTTTATGGAAGGGAAAAACGTCCCGAGGCGATGTGAGGTGATCCGTTTGTTGTTGTTCAGGCGCTGAGCAGCGTTCGTCCTTGGATCATCTCCCTGCAGTGCATCGAAATCTGCCTACTGAAATAAAAAATAATCATCTTTTAATTCGAGCTGTAAAAAGTGTGAAACTTCACTTTCTTTCTCCTCCTCCCACACACACACACACAAACTCTCGTTTTATTGCTGCTAGTTTATTTTTTTCTTCTTGGTGTTTGTTAAAACGAGCTGCTGCTGTTATTGCGTGGCCCATATTAATTATTGCCTGATCCGGCATCACAAAGGAGGAGAAAAAAGGGCCCCGCAAGAGTGGTTGGCTCCCCAAAAAAAAAAAAAAAAAAAAGAGAGAAAAGGTTAGCTATGTGGCTAATTGCATAGCGAGGAGCAGGCTTGGTGGTTTTCATTATAAATGCACGCAGACCACGAGGGTGCCACTGGACGCAGTGTTAGTTTAATGGACACATTGGAGAAGAAAGCTGGCTGAAGTCTTCTTTCTCTCTTTGTGTTTTTTTTTTTTTTTTAAAAAGTTGTCTTTGTGTTAGCTGAGGAGGTTATTGCTGCTAACAGAGCATTTTGGCTGCACTCATTAGCTGCTTGTGTCCTTCATGCGGTGCTTTAAAGATCATTGTAGAGCATTTACTTACATCATTTAAAAAGAAAAAAACACATTAAGTAGAAATAAAGCAGAAAAAATGTTAATGAATGCCTCAAAGAGACACATAAACTCCTTAAATCCTTTTTTCTAGCTAATCCCATTTAAGTTTTATGCCATTTATATGCGTTAGATATCACCTTCAGGGCCTATTACAAAACACGCACTTTGGTTTATTTATGCAGCAGCAACATAATTACACCGGCAGTCTTTCTAATGCAGTCTGTGTGCACTCTCATTGGCAGATAAGCTCATGCAAATAGGATGACTGGGTCAGACAGGCCCATCAAACAGATTAACACACAACTTCAATCCTCTCATTCCTCATCTCGTGTTGTGTCTAGCATTGTAGCCGCAGTGACCTTTTTTGCCCTGTAATATACTGTACACACACATGTACACACACATATATACACACACACACACACTGTAATCAAGCAGAGAGAACTTCCTATCGTGTATTTCCAGCGTTTTTCCTTGTTTCCACTCGTCATTCTGCCAGACTGTTGACCCACAAGCGTTGCTTTTAATCCGACTAAGCGCCCAGTTGTGAGATCAGAGGCCGTGACACTGATTCCTGAAGACCGAGCTTAACTGGCTCCAGAACTGTTCTCTGTTGGCTATTTTTTGTGTGTCTCTAACTAACCATTAATCTGTGAGCATCACAGATTGTTACTTATAGCGCTTCCTTAAATGTTCTAACATCAGCTGCTGTTTTTTTCTTCTTCTTCTTCTTCTTCCTCCTCCTCATCAGGATGACACTGATTGCCACCCCATAGTTTTCCCGCCCGCCGGCATCCACCATGAGCATCATTCAAGACAAACTAGGCAATGAATTCCTGCGCTCCAACGGGAGCATGGACTCCAATTTCGGCCCCGGCATGATAATGTTCAGCCACCTCCCTCCGGTGACCAGCTTCACCCGGCTGGCCGCCCACTCCGTCATGCAGGACCTTCCGCCGCATGAAATGATCCTGAAGAAGGAGCGTGACTCGCCTGACTGCAGCATGGGCGACCAGGGTGGCCGCATGGGGTGTGCGGGGGTGGGAGACTACGTTCACGCCATGGGCATCAAGCAGGAGAAGCTGTCGGAGCACGATTATCGCCTGCCGGTTTATCCCGGAGGACTGGGGAAGAGCACGGAGCTGCTGGAGGTGACAGTCAGCAACAACCAGAGCCTGATGGTGCACGACCTCAACATGGGCAACGTAAGTGCCGCCGACAGGAAGTCGTGAGTGGGGAGTTTCTGATTAAAGGGCAGTGATCTCAAGTGTGTGGGATTCCTTAAGGTTACACTTCTAATCAAGTCTAGAGCTGAATAATTAGTCATTAGTTGATTTGATCATTGTAAAAACTGAATATCTTTGGGGTTTTGACATGGTTGGTTTCACAAAACAAGATTCCTTTTGACTATTTTGTTGCATTTTATAGACAAAATCGATTTAATCAAGAAGAATAATCTGCAGTTTAATTGATGAAAATGCCGGTTAGTTGCAGCCGTCATCGAGTTAACAAGTGACGTCCTGTTTGGTGCAGTAGCTCGTGTTTTTCTCTTAATGCCAACGCATTCTTGCAAGTAGAGATCAATACATAACAAATAAGAGTAGTACATCAACATAAAAGTCCATATTCCAACCCCCCGACTGCCCATGCAACCAACGCGGAGATTGATCAGATATAAACGTATAATAAAGCAGGTTATAGATCAGATTTAAAGTATGGATTTTGCTGCCTCAGGTACTCCCAGGACCTCCTGATGTAACTCATTTACACGAGCTACAGACTTGCTTTGTCAACATAAGTATACATGCAGTGTAAGGTGGAGGTGTCCGTCTGCGTTTGTCCCGAGCAACCTTTAGTTTTGAAGTTAGGATCATAATTTAATATCCTTCCTTTTGAGGGGAACAATATGTCGTTTATAGCCTTTTTACTTTTGTGCATTATTGTGTGATTGGCTACAGCTTGTTGACATGAACAGTGCACGAGAACACATCCAGATGAATCAAAGAAAACTCTGTGCATATATAATTAGTTTGTCCCAAAAGCAGCTGTGCAATGTTGTCAAGCAGCTCATATTTTAGAAGCCTGAAAGGGAGGAGCCAGAGAGGGGACGGCTGCAGGGGGAGGAGGAGCCTGTGCGGAACTGGTTATGGCGACATAAATCTACTGACGGCTTGAGATGCAAAATATAAGAGCCCCCCCTCGCTCCCTCCAGCCGTCTCCCTCTGTTTCCCTCTCTGGGTAGATGGGTGATGTCATCCAGCCTCTGCGTGAATGAAAACGTCACGACAAGGACACAGCTGTCTTGTTTGAGCTTGCACTTCAATTCAGACATCTTTTGTGCTCATTCAAATAGAAATACACACAACCACACACTTCTAACAATAGCCGGGCATCAGAGGTCGCCGGGGCTCTAGACGCAAGTTTGCTGCAAAACAGAATGAATTATTGTCCTCTCCTCAAAAATGCGTCTACTCCAGGACAATTTCACGTCAAGTATTTTATTTTAACACAACATGCGGAGTCTTTACGAGCAGTTTTTCAACCCACTCGCGCCTAAAATTGGGCTGACTTTTGAGAACAGCAGGTGCGTCCACATTTGCCCTGTCAGTCTCCATATGGCACTGAGGAAGAAAAGAGCAGTGCAGGGATGGTAAACCACAAGAATAAAAGGCAGAGTACTCTACCAGAGGAAGTTGAGCGAAGAGTAATAAGCTTGAATGTTTAGTTTATCGTGCGAGGTGTGCGGTTTGTCTATTTCTTCGGTCTGGAATAGAAGATGAAAAGCCCCCACAGTGAATTACAGGCTGCTTATGCATAGAGGGGGCCATAAATTTAAGGCATTGTTATTTCGCTCGCTTGAACCACATCTTGCACAATGAGTTTTCAACAGACAATCACAAGTCATTGTCCAAGTATTCTGTTTGTTTGCTGCAGCAACAAACATGGACTTGTTTGCAGCATAGTTTTAGACCGAAGGCTCTTAACCTTCAATCAAGTAATTTCCTTGCCATGGCTCGCTCTCACGGCCCTCTCCCTCTCCCTTTGTCATCCTCGCAGCTGCCGAGTCAGTTAGGAAAGGAGCCCACTGGGAGAAAAGGTCGAAGGTCAAATGGTGATGGACAGGAGGGTAAACCGAGAAAGAAGAGAAGCGAGGCAAAGGTTGGTCATATATTTATGGTCATATATTTTATATGTCTGTGAATGTAGTCATATTTTACCATTCATGCACGTATGCAAGAAAAGTATTTAGAATAAACACAAATACATGCTTTTATTTTGTTAAATACAAACTAAAAGTAATGCATACATTTCTCTTCCTGAATTTCTCCTAAGGGGGATCAATAAAGGAATATTTAATCTAATCTGAAGAATTTATGGTGATCATTTAATACTTAATTAATTTTCTTATTTCCAGAAATCCCCAGTGTTAAAAATTTTAACCTGATTTGAAAGACTTTGATAGGGCCCAACATTCACAATATGAACTGATCCTTTAAACACACTCAGATAACACAGAACAGACTGTTAATATCAAGGACAACCACAATAGATCCAAATCAGACCATAGACCCCCCCCAGGGCTGTGCGATATGACGCCGCAGACAGCTGTGAAGGGGTTGATGAGGCAGGGACGCAACCAAAGCTAATGTTTACTTCACAAACTACTTTAAACCTACAGGACGTAACTTTTATAATAATAATAATCATACTTGCTAAAGCTGTCCCGATATCTTGACAGTAGTACATAAAACAGGTAATCTTTGGATACATGCTTAATTAAAGAAAATGCACAAAGGTTTCAAATAAAAGGAGATAAATAATCAAAGAAAAAGGCCTTTCCATGTGCATTTTACATAAACCTTTTGCAGAATTGACCAACTTCAGAGGGCTTTTGTCTTAAGGAATCCCCTCCAAGTGTCTTTTTCAGTCAATGATCAAACTGTGATCACTCTAAATCACAGTCAATAAAAACAGCTAACCCTGTTTCTGTCCTTGTTGTTCCAACTTCCCAAAAAATGTCATACAAGTTCAAATATTCTATTCCTCCTTTTGATGGGGGGGGGGGACCTCCTACAAGCTACTCTCAAAGACCCCTGTTTGAAAACCAGTGATAAAAGAAGCCAGCTGACTGAATCTGACCCCAGCGTTTCTCTGTCATTGTTCTACAGCAATCAATGATGCTGGATGCAGATGGAGGCAGCATGTCGCCGGGAACCAAGCCGCACATCTGTGAGCACTGCACCGCATCCTTCAGAAGCTCCTATCACCTCCGCAGACACGTCCTCATTCACACAGGTACCACAGCGTGCACCTTTTCACCATGATAATCCTATCTTCTCCTCTGCGTGCTCCTTGATGTGGAGTTGCATCCCTTTTGTTTGATAAAAGCACAATCAGCACAAAGAGAAAAAGTCATTATGATGCCAGCTGAAGGAACTGAAGCTGATTGTTATTGCTGCCTGTACAGTTTCTCCAACAGTGTTCAGATGGCTCTCTGTGTACTCTGTAAACACTGGTTTTGGCATAATATTTACATTGCCTTCAGTTTTACAGCTGATCTAACGGTAAAGAAGTAATAAAACCGTGGCAGCTCCATAATTAATTCTGGTCCTTAAGGGCAGTTTTTTGCAGGGGTTTGGTCTTCCTAATAGTTATTAAGACACATGTGGTCTCATATATAAAGAGGCCAGATGTAGGGATGCCCCCTAAATGGGGCTGCACAGTTAATCAAAAATATTGGTGTGTTGACATCATGTGACAAAACCGCTTTATAATGAAGTTTACTGTGGTGCTGTGGGATACAAATCTTGCTCAACAAATTTCACATCATCCTAATTTGAATCGTTTTTCAGTTAAAATTACATTTGTGATGCAAAAATGATCGTTCCCACTAATCACAATGTGATTTATTTTACCATATCGTGCAGCTCTTACCCAAATCGCTGATTGGAATCCTCTCAGTCTCATCACTGTCATTTTTCTTTTTGCCTCATCGTACACAGAGCATTGCAGGCTTTACGTTTTTATAAACCGGGTCTGGTTTCAAAGTGACCTAACTGTGATGGCGACTGAGGGCTCACAACGTGGAGCAGTGCCAGAAGCTCTCGGCTCCACTGCTGAATGTTAGCAAAGTCTGCTGAGCTACCTCCCAACCAGATTCACCAGCTTCAGGATTTTAAACTAGGATGCACACTTTTTACTTCTTCGTGTGGAAATCTGATGTTTTCATATGACAGATGATGAACAAAGGCATTAAAATGTGAGTCATGCAGGTAAAACATGAGACTCTGTGTAGTTGTTATCGGTTAGTGTGGTCAGCAGTAAGCTGTAATGAAGAAAAAACTCAAACGTAATCGTGTTGAGTGTTTATTTATTTAAACAAAAATATTTATTGATATGGTGCTGCATGAGCCTGAAGTGCCGACCCTGCACAGTCTGAGCTCGGTGTATGGCCTGAGATAAGCTGCTGGTGGGCGGCATTGACTACCAGGGAGGATAAAAAAGAACTTCTAGCAACACTGACGATTTCCCTGCACTGCTGTATTGAAATGCACAGTTGAATGTACGATGTCCTTACTCGAGAATCACTTGTTTCTTTTATTTTCCCATTTTTGCAATGTGTTACAATGATTAAATTAGAATTGCTTTTGTCACAACACTGTCTGCTAGAGTTCAGTGACTTAGAAAATTGATTTTAAAAGTGGAATATCTGCTAGAGGTCACACACTATTGATCGGTTTATTTAGAATTTTCTTTGGCTTCCAGATTGATGAAGCATCTGCTGTAATGGTCCATTTTAGTTTGTGCTCTTTTCACAACTTCTTGACAAATATTAAAGGTCCAGTGTGTAACATTTAGGAGGGTCTGTTGGCAGATATGGAATATAATATTCACAGGTTTTCATTAGTGTATAATCACCTGAATATAGGAATATTTATGTTTTTAGAATGAGCCTTTTAGACGCCATGGATCACCTTCCATGGCGTCCACTATGTTGAACCGCCATGATTCTACAGTAGCCCTCAACAGACAAACCAAGCACTGGCTCTAGATAGGGATTTTCTGTGTTTTATGCATTTCGTGTCAATGTGGGTTCTCTTTCTCACTTGGAAGGGGAGGGTGAAGTAAGGGAGTTGCAATATGTAACTACACTGCTACTAAATCCTACATACTGGTCCTTTAACTTAAATACTGTATAGGAACACTTTCATAGCCATTAAATTCAGTTATGTTGTAAAAAAAAAAATGCTACATAAATTCAGATTTCTGTTGGATTAATGGATTAATAGATTGAATCATTCATTTAATTATTTATCATCAGTCAGTTTTTCCTGCACCCGTATTTGAGAATGATGAACTCCATATGAGTGAAAGACTGGGAAATGAGTGAACACAATGACACGAACACTTGTGAAACGCAGTGCAATCTATTGCCATAGCAATGCTACAGACACACACACACTGCGTTTGGTAATGAGTTTTTCAAGTGTTTGTTTGACTGTGGCCCCAAAGAATTACCATGGAGACAAATTAACACTCAAAGAATACTTAAGGAGTCAATAAATATTGCATCGGATTTCATTACGTTGTTCAGGTGTTTGTGTTATTTTACAAGTAAGCGAACCATATCGCAGAAGGGGTGGATGCAACATAGTAACTGTATAAATCTTCATTTCAGGTGAAAGACCCTTCAGATGCAATCAGTGCAACATGAGTTTCATTCAGAAGTACCTTCTCCAGCGACACGAGAAGATCCACAGTGGTGAGTGATAAAAGGCATCCATTAACATCCCCTCACAGCCGGATTCAACCTATGATTCATTGTGTGCTCCTAATGTCAACTAACCCCGAGCCGTGCTGTTCTTCTGCGTCAGGAGAGAAGCCATTCAGCTGTGACCAGTGTAACATGCGTTTCATTCAGAAGTACCACATGGAGAGGCACAAGAGGACGCACAGCGGAGAGAAACCGTACAGATGTGAGACCTGCCAACAGGTTAGTGAGCTGCTTAGAATGTGATATTTATATCAGAGATTTCACAATCCAATCCCCAGATACTTTTAGACCCCGAACCGATTCCAGTCATTTAATATACTCAATTTAATATTGAATACCCCCAATACTTGTCTTTTTTTAGATAATACAGCATTAAAGTTACTAAAGTCAATCCAATATATATGGTTGACAGTTAAATAGCTCTGCATTGCAATTTGAAAAAAATATCTGCTGTTCCTTAATGTTTATTTTATTTATTTTTTACACACTAAAGTATAAAATAACCCTGTTATCTTTTAAGTCTTGTCGCTGTCTGCAGGGAGTGTCTCTCTCTTTAAAGTAACTCGTCTTTATTTGCTTTAAACACAACATTTGGTGTGTGTTCCCTTTAGTATTTTTCTAGGACAGACCGACTGCTTAAGCACAAGCGAACCTGTGGAGAAGCCATAAAGAAGGGGCTGGATCCCGGGATGATGGATTTGGACTGTGTAGACATGGAACACGGCAGCTATGGAATCACTCAGGGAAATGCTGGGAGTACTGGGAGAAAGAGGGGAAGGTCCAAAAACGGGGACGGAGGTGAGCGCAAGAAGAAGAAGGGGGACGGAGGAGGGATGAGGGCGGCACACCTTCACGGGGCAGTATCTGGAGGCTACAGCATCCACGAGTACTCTGTGGAGAATCAAACAGTATCCTCCTCCACGGAGCCGGGACCCAGCATGCAGCAGGTCCACCACGGCCGAGCTCCAAAGATGGCATTCAAGAAGGCTAATCGTAAGAGCCTAGACAAAGCGGATCTGGGACAGGCCAAAGCAGGCCCAATGGAGCAGTCCGGGGGCATGGATGGTCTTGGTCTCATGCAGGGTAACGGGGCTAAAGTCGGGCCCACCAGCAGCAGCAACTACGACGACGCCATGCAGTTCCTCAAGAAAAGACGCTACCTTCACGCGGCCAACAATGCAAACTCATCAGGGCCGGTGGCGGTCGGAGGAACCAGCAGCGAGTACGACGTCGGTATCGGTCACATGCCTTCCCAGCAGTCCGTCATTCAGGGTGTCGTTTCCAGCGTGATGGACAACGACGCACCTCTGAGTCTCGACAAGTCAGGGATCCCAGACGAGGTGCTGCAGAGCATCCTCGATCACTATACCCAGAAACCCGACGGCTCGCACCACAACGTTCACTTTGACATCGGTGACCACCACATGGAGCTGAACCCCGCCTCGGCAGACGGCCCCGACATCGGCCACAGCGCCGACACCCCCAGCCCATCTGGAGACAAGACTGTCATGATGCACGAATACTCCCGCTTCCTGCTGCAGGCTTTGGAGCGCACCAGCCACAGTGCCAGCTTCCCTCTGGGCCCCGGGCCTCCCGCCTCAGGACCGTTCACCAGTTCCCACTCTGGAAACCCCCTCTACGCTGACAAGAACATCTACACTACGTCCCCACTGGAGTGCGGGTTTGGCCAGTCGGTGGCCTCGCCTTCGCTGCCCTCCTCTGTGCCAAAGTCTCACTTTGCGATGCTGACGGGCTCCTCGCCGCAGCACGGCTTCCACCTTTGCAGCCTGGAGGCCCCCACGCACCAGCAGCTCACCCCCTCTCAGGAGCTCACCGACCAGCTGGAGAAGCAGCACTCCTCCACTCCCCCTTCCTCCTACCAGATCAGCCCATCTGACCTGAGCAGCCAGAAGGACCACCCGCCGGTCAAGAACGGCACGACGGTCTACCCTCTGGCCCCCTCGCAGGATCTGACCTCTCTGGACTCCTCCAAGCCTTCCTACCAGATAGAAAACTTTGCTCAGGCCTTTGGCTCCCAGTTCAAGTCAGACGGCCGCGGCTTGTCTTACGGCACTGACTCTAACGGGGAGGTGGATCACAGGATACGGACGCCTGTGTCTCAATTCTCAGGGTATAGTAGTTTGTTATCTGATGTCAATGAGCCAGTAAGTACAGGTTCCAAAACTACAACAAGCCAAAGCTACAGATGAGAGCCTGAGAGGGAGAGAACACTCTGTCGTTAAAGTTGATGTTCTTATTTTCATTTTCTAGTGCTCCTATTTTATTATTATTATTATTATTATTATTATTATTATTGTTATTATTATTGTTATTATTTTTCTAAGTGACATCTTTCTTTTAATTATACTGATGCTCTGTTTTTTTTGTGCCCACTTCTCTCCCCACACTGAGCCTTGCAAGGCTTCCTGCAAATGCAATTTTTTTTTCCTAAGCATCTGTTATTTTTAAGTTAAATATGTATTTACTGTTTATTCTTGTCATCATTAGTGACATTAGCTCTGGTCATTCATCATGAACTCAAAGTACTCTTCAAACAGGCGTAGAGTAGCACCGGACATATTTCTTTTCCAATGAGCTTGAAGTGTTCTTGAGCAATCAACGTCACAACTGTAAAATAATAATGAAAATAACGGCGATGGCAGGGAATAGCCCAGAATTGAAATAGCAAAAAAGAAAAAAAAAAAAAACAAACAAAACACACAAAAAACATTATTGTCTGTTACAAGGTTGAAAGTATTACTCAGGAAAAAGTGGAAAAGGAGAAACCTACGAGGTGCAGTGAGCGCTCTTTCAGAGAGGATTTTTCTTATGTTTTATTACTTGTTGAATGAGTGTGACATAAACAGACTGCTGCCAGCTCACTTGAGCACTGAAAACACTTTCTACTTGGCTATATAGAGATTATGGTACTTTCGTGTCAATGTGAAACTCATGTTTTCTTCAATAAGGGCCATATATATATCTATATATATTTATAAGAATATATATTAATGTAAAGTAACAGATTTAATCATTCTGGGGAACTGCCAGTTGAAGTAGAGGAAGAATGAGGGCTGGTTTGGGGGGGTAAATGTTGTCCTGGGTATATTTTTGGAGAACAAAAGTGATGTTAGGGCTTTTCTTTGGCCGATAGAGGTTGCTGTTGGACAGCGATAGAATGGCCTTCCCCTTTTCCCTTGCCCTCCACTTCTTCCTCGGTTCTCTTATTTCTTTAAAAGAATCCAATTAGCACTTTGAGCCGTTTTTCTTACATTGAGTAAAGTACCCCCGTCGGATAAAAGGAAGCTCAAACGTCAGGAGTGGACTGGCTTTCTGACAGAGACGTGTTGCTGTTTGGGCATATGCAGATGGGTTTTCTGGGTTGGACATATTCTGGCTGTATGATGGGGTGGGGGGGGGGGAGTACCCTTTTGTTTGGGTAGCATGGTTTATATGGGATGGTGGGTGGTGAGGGGAGGGGGGAGGGCAGAATTGATATGTGAAAGTGGGATTTTTTCATTAACATTTTCTCTTTCTCCTTACTTTTAGAACGGGTTTAGCGTGGGCGGGCGGGGCGGGCGGGTTAGGGCTTTTAAAATCCAGTAACATTTAATCGGGATAATGTAAATGTAATTCAAACCCCTAGTTTTAGTTTGACTTGTTACCCAACTTAGCAGCTTTGCTTTTCTTACTGAATTTGATGATGACAAATGTGTTAGTGATCAAGTATTTCTTCAGCGGTTACCGTGGCAGCCATACGCTGTACGAGCAAAAAAAAAGGAGAAAAAAAAGAAAGATGGCTGACCCAAAAATTTGTATGCATTTAGATCTTTTTCATGTGTGCTGGCAGTAACCAAGCAGATATGTCCCATTAGAAATTGTGTGCCTATTCCTGAGAAGCACGGGTGCAAGATATTGTCTAGTAAATGTTAAATGTAATTTCTTGCTGATTTTTAAATGTATTTATGCTGTACATTTTTTTTTTTTTTTTTTTTTGTAAAGACAACAATAATTGCGCTGTCTTCCATAGCTACAACTGGCCTTGAGTGCTGGAAATATCACTCTGCTGAATGAGTCTTTTTAAACCCCTTTTACGCCCCGATGGCCTGTTGTTTTAAGCAATCATTAAAACGTGGCAGAGTGAATGCAATGCTGTAATATCTTAAGTAATATGTTGCCATGTTGGAACGGTTGAGGCAGAAACAAGAATTTGCCTCGCATATACCTCATATCACAATAAACCAGGGACAAAAAAGGAGTGAAGGTTTGATGTATGTAGCAGAGATGCTGTTGTATGTAAAACAAACAAATGTCATGTTTTCTGTGTGACTATTTTTAAAACATTTGTGTACATGACATTTCTGTGACCCATTAAGACGTCGTTGCTTAAGGGTTTCTGTAAGTGCGTCATGCCAGCCAGTGTTGAGTTTCTCCAGTTCGACCTTCTCTCTCTCTCCCTCCCCCCCCCCTCTCTCTCTCTCTGCCATATTGTTTCAATATGCTTGTTGTTTACAAAAACATGTACAAAACACTACATCTTACTTTATTGAATTATGACCCCCCCCTCCCCTGTATACATTTTTATTTTACTGTATTTCTTTCCCCCTTTTTTTTTTTTTTTAATCACCGCCAAATTTTGTAGCTGATGATATCTTCCATTTTTATGTTCTTTCAGCTTCTTGTGACACGTTTCACAAGACTGTACTTGTCCAATGAATTAAAACTGATTAGGGAGAAAACAATAAAAAAAAAAAAAAAATGCTGTTATCAAGAACTCTTGCTGTCATCCTTTATGTGGTAAAGTGGTGTTAACGTGCTAATGCAGTTTTATATTTACACTGAAATGAAATGTATCAGTTGTTATCAGAGGGGCTGATAGGATACTGTTAATGTGATTTCCATTCATTATATACTCTGCTTATTAGTCTTTGGTAGCACATAAGAGGCTTACTGAAGATTAATGCAGCTCTGTTTATTTCCACCACTGGGTGGCGATGATGTTCTTCTAGAAGCGAGATGCCGTGTGTTTGTCTTCAGTTTAAAACGACTGCGACAACCAACGCAGTTCAAATGTGCTTTAGTGCTTGTGTAGTAGTTATGGCTTCCTTTTTAAAGGCTGTTCAGCTGTTGATGGCATGTTGGTTCTGGGAAACATGGAATTTAAACATCTTGAGTTTTTGAATGAGTTTCTGATTAAGTTCTGCTCTACAGAGAGTTGTCACCCACTTTGTTTATGACAAGGGCTTAATGGGCCCTGGTGGTTTACATTCACTCCTATAAAATCACATCCCACCTCATAAAACGGTGATCTGCGAGCCGGTGTTTAAGGATGCGGCATGAATACTAAAACTTCACCTTCAAATGAATCTTTCCCTGCTCCAGTTTAGGTAAAAAAAAATATTTTAAATTATTCTTTTTAATGAAAGAATTTGTCAGGGAGGTGAATTTTCTCCCACTTCTAGGTCAATAGCACGTACAGTGCTTCATTTTTTTCTTTCAGTTATTTCTCTAATGATTAACGGAGTAAATGTTAGTAGTTATGTAAAACTATGTGAGCAAGTTAATTAGTCTCTGTTAATTATTCCTGCAACAAGTTTTTTTTTTTCCATTGACTACTCTCAACCCAGAATCTCGAGGGCGTCAAATTTGTTTTGCAAATGTCTCTATATCATTAACCCAACTTTCTATTGTTTGTTTTTCCACCAGCATAAAGTTTATTTTTAGCATCTCGCATTATGTATATTACAGTTCCTGAATGTAAAGCTAACAAATTAAGAACAAACATGCCAAAACACAAAAGAGGGAGAAGAAAACTAATAGAAAAACAGGCATCCTAGAGTGTCCTAGATGAGGGACCCCCACAATAGATGCACATTGACTATAAACCCCTATCTGGGAGGACTGTCTTAAGGAATCCCTTCTGAGCCAATTTTTATCGCTTGCTGTGAAGATTTACTTCCAAAAAATGACATAAAAATTAAAATAATCTGTTTGCTGGGGGCCCCCTAAAACCCTCTCAAGGACCTCTGTGGGGTTACCGGACCCCAGTTTGCAAACCACTGTCCTAGATAAATAATTCAAAGAGAGCAGAGCACATTAAACCCGTCAGCGTTACAGAAAGATAAGCAAGCGATTAAATATTACAAGAAGTCACCACCACCCAACCAGAAAAGCACTTCACGAGCGCCGCCACCTCTGCGTGTCCAAATCCATTTAACCTTTAACTTTGTTACACACATCAGTGATTTTTGATATTTCCCTTCCATTATCTGTATGGGGAATACAATTACTTCCCCTAAATCAAAAAAGAGAAGTGGGTTGTCTTCCTGTCACCACAGAACAAAACCTGCATCTCATGAGTGTTTTTTCTTGCAATCATGAATCCTTCACACACACCGTGTACTTTGGTCCACGCCCAAAAGCTGTGTGATTCAGCTGCCAAACTTAGACCTCTCCGTACATCATCATGATGAGTCAGTATCGATAGCGCTTTGTGCTCACTGTTGACCAGAAAATGAGAAATCGGGCCATAAAAGTTAACGCAAGAATAGTAAGGGTGTGTTCGGGAGGAATGTGACGTGACTTTATCAAGTAATCAAGGAGTTGTGTTTCTCAGATGGAGGCAGTACTCCATATTCCCTGAGCTGAATGTCAAAGAGGTGTTTTTGGCTCAACACAGCCGAGCAGACGCTGAGGTAACCCTGCGGGAGGCCTGCCAAACTGTTAGAACTGAGCTTTCTCCGCTCCTGTTGTCTCTTTCTTCTTCCAGAGGTCGCAGGTCTGTTGACAGAGTGGATGTGAGAGTGACGTGCATGATGTTCTTATCTTCAAAGCTGAGAAGAGTCTACAGATTGGGCTGTGTACACAGAGAGATAGTGAATGGGGAGCAACAGCAATAAAAAAAAGGGAGTGAGTTTTAATGATGCTGTAATATGAGTCATTGGTTGGAGGGGTTGAATACAGAATACAAAGTTCTGTCCTCCGGTCCTCCAGACTGAAATATCTCAACAACGTTTGGATGGACTGCTACAAAATGTACAGATTAATCATAGATCACTGACTGTAGCGCCACCGTGAGGTTCACATTTGTGGGTTGGGTGAAATGTCTCAACAATAATTGGAGGGATGTCCCCTTCAAAATAAATTCTAAAAACTTTTAATAAGTCCAATTTTCCTTGCCCTCGTCAGCTCAATACTATATTTATGTTTATTACTAAATACCTGCAAAACTAATGACCTAAACTTTGCTTTCTGTTTATTGATAATTAGTAAAGGTTAGCTCACTAAGCTAAAATGTGAACATGGTAAACACTCGGCATGTTAGCATTGGCATTGTGTGCATGTTAGTCTGCTGTTACCATTTTGCGAGAAGCCCCTCTGTGCTTTAGTACAGCCTCACAGATCTGTTATCATGGCTATAGACCCTCAGTCCTGTTATTGATATTCATATAATGGGGTATAAAACATGGATAGTACCTACAGAAACAGTTAGAAATGGACTCTTATGATCCACATAGAGCATTTGACCAATATTAGAAAGTTTTTCTTGCTCTTCGGTCCATCATCTCACTGAACATATTTGCTTTAAGTAACAGCTGAGGATGAAGTACTCCATCAACAACAGTAAATAAAAGTTAATCTAAAAGATGACCTTGTACAATTCCCAGAATGCAGTCCTGAAATGAGACACACTCGTGTCTGAAAGGCCTGGCATTAACCCTGGTGGTTGCCAGGCTGAAAATCAACATGAGGTATTAAAAAATGTTGCAATGTCCCCGAGTATTTGCATGAGATAAGGGTGAGGTCAGCAAAGGTATATGTGTTTATACGCATGCTGGACATTTGTCTCTAATAAAGGAGCGTCCCACAGCAAGCCATAAAAGTAGCGCTATGGCAACATGGAGAATGAGAAACGATAGTGAGTGGATTTGCCTGCTTCATATGAATATACTGTTAATAGTTAAAGGGGGCAGTGAAAAATTATCCACCAGTGTTATTATGTTGAGATAAAGTCAGCTCCTTAGTTAAACAATAACACAATCTATCATACATACAGGCTTCAGATTAAAATATTTCATTGATAATTGGTTAAGTTCTCTAATATTAAGTTTGCCTTGTAATTTACTTTGGTTGCTTCTAAGGTTTTGCTCCACTGTACACTATATATATATATATATATATATCCAGATTTTCAAATAGAGCTGCAAAGTAATCTGTCAAAAATATCACAGATTGTTGTAATGAGCTGTATTGTTGTGATAATAAGGAAGTTATTTTTTCAAGTACTTTAAACACTTCCTGATATTATTGTCATTTTAATCTTGAATAGCCTACAGTGTGTTTGAAACACTACACACTGACTAATCAGCTCAGTGAAACAATCAATCATACGGCTGGCAGAATATAGACAAAAAACTTCCTTGATAATCAGTCAGGATTTTTTTTTTTTGATGCTGGCTGACCTACTTCAGAAACGCCCAATGGGCCCCCAGTTTGTACCATTTCAACATTCATAACGTCAGTTTCGGCGCCATTTGATCATCTGATAAACCATCTTTATGGTTCATCTCATCTGTTTGCTTTTGTTCAACATGTACATTGCCCAGTTGTGTCATTTACAATTAAACAAATGTAAAAACTGAGTCGTGTAAGGAAACAGTGACAGTGCACTCACACACATTTCCAAGAAAAGATACTTCCTTGACAAATAACTGATTATGTACTTTTGGTACTGAGGGAGTGGAGCACAGTTTAAATCAAATGTAGGTGCAAACATGGGTCATAAATAACCCGTGTATAACTGTAGCCAATTGTTACTGATGAAAAGCAGATATTAGTCCCAACTCAAGTGTTGAACCAGGATCTTTAACCTCAGCTGTTTCGGTCATTTAAGGTTTAGTGTGTAACATTTAGGAGGATCTACTGGTAGAAATGGAATATAATAGTCACCTGAAAATGAGAATTGTTGTGTTTTCGTTACCTTAGAATTGCTGGCAGCCACCATAGTTTCTCCACCACGCTTTGGAATTGGAGTGTGAGGCGAGGGTGTTGTAACCTGCAACTACACTTCTAGAAGCCACTAAATCCGACACAGTTCCTTTAAAAGCTGGCACATGTGCTTGTGACTGTGCTATTTACTGTTATTGCATTAAAAAAGCCTTTTACACAGGCCACTGCTTTTTCCTCGAACCTCACTTATTTCTGATGTAGTGATCTTATTCACTTCTAAAGATATCATTCTGAATTATTATATTTTGACATATTAGTCTTATTAGTCATATTAGTCTTAGAGCAAAGGACCAGCTACTGATGCTACCATCATTTGGAAAACTTCCACCTGAATATCGTGTCACTTTTTGTTCCTTACCAACTAATGTTATAACCTTAGTGCAGCAGATGGTTTGTTACACAGAACTATCTGGGAAGTTGTCCTTAGAAACTGTTCAGATGGCACTTTCAATAAATACTCGGCAGGTGATTGAATGAACCATCTGTCTGTCACAAGTTAACTTCAAGCAATCAACAAACCGGTGAGACTTCAGGAGAAGAGTAGAAGCATTATATATATATATATATAAAGGTAGTAAAGTAGTCGCACAGTGTAAAAATAAATATTGCACAGGACAAAAATATACAGCAGGTTATTTAAGGGAAATATAGTTTATAACTATAAGGATAGAGCATGATAATTGCACAGTACAGGTTTAATATAATAAGATAAATTATATATGTAAATTGTGATAATAAATAATGTGTATTACAAGATAAAATATTCTGATATAAGACTTTACAGACTGCTGAATGGATGATTAAGAATAAACATCGAAATATTCTAACAAACCGAATATCCTATGAGGTCAGTTTCTTCTAAAATGTCCACAAAAAAAGCACAGTGTCATCAGCATAGAATACAATTATTTCTCTTCACAAAAAAGTTTGTGATTTGGATAAATTGAACTTTTAAGCACCAAAACTCAAGTGGAACAAATAACAAGGGTCTGTCAGCAATTGCATGTTTTCTACCTAAGATTGTCTCAGAGGTTGCATAACCACTGAACATGGTTTTTAAGGAGCTGCATGTTCCTAACAAAGCCAATTTAGCCTTAAATGGTCAAACCCTTTTAGTCCACAATAACAACATGAAGAAAAAGGAATGACATTGTGGAGGGTTTATTATGTTTTTATCCTGAATGAGTTTTTTTACCCTTCTGTTCTCTTTTTTGGACACTAAGAGTCCATCAGAAAGAGAGAAGAAAAAAAGCTCTTACAAGGGATGTTGGTGGCATAGTTAAAAAGAAATTAGCCTACCATACACATGTGTATCTCTAAAGTCAAATAAATAAATTACACCACTGCCAACCACGTCATGTAACTCACTCCACATAACTCAAATTCATTTTAAAGTCAAGGTGACCCCAGTCGCTTGATGGTGTTGTCAGAAGGCCAGAGTTTGATATAAATCTTTTCTAGGGATACCGAAGAGGACAAGGTAATTCAAAGTATATTAGAATTAAATAAAATACGTAGATTAATGTCACAGTGATTGTACTATTTGGATTTTGGGTTGGTCAGGATGTGAAGTCAATTGTCAAAACTATTAATAGAGTAAATATGATAACATCTCAGATATGAGAGGAATTTCTTTGTGTGCACAGCAGAGGAATACTGATATTTTTGTTTCACTTCTGAACATTAAATACAGGTTTTAATAAGTTAATTGTTACCACATTCTTAGGGTACTTTTTTGTCATGCTGTTTCAGTCATGGGATTGCAATGTTGGTGTTACCTGAAGTATCTCAAGTACTGTTGGATGGGAGACCATAAAACCTTGTAGACATTAATGGTGCATGAATCATTGACTACATTTGCTGATCCCCTGAATATCTATCAAGTGGCACCATGAGGTCGAGATTTGAGATTTTATGACATCTATGTTTAAAAGACGTGAGATGAATAGTCACATCTTAAATTAGCTGATGTTAGCAAAATGCTAGATAACGAATTAGTAACACCTAAATAAATTGTTCTGTTTTGCTAACATTAGTGATGGTGAACATATTAAAGTTAGTATTTAACTGTGCTAAAATAGTTACAGCCCCACGTATAGCCAAATTATTATTTTAATTGGAGTGAAAACTGGGACAATTTGGTAGTTATTATGAAACTGTCATCAGATGTCTATAATTTGCTCACAGTGAATTACATAATGCCTTTCAAAGTCTTATGGAAAGATTTATTTTGCTGATACATAATCTTGGTCATGTGACACTAATGTCAGTATTGACATTTTTCCCTGAACAAGGCACATACTTCACTCATGGTGTAAAACAATCAGCTAAAAATAGACTTTTATTGTAGTTCTGTAATGTTGACGGGTAGAGGAGGAGGAGGCTCCACTACAGTAATAATGAGTGACAGGAGAACCGGCCAATCAGAGGAGGGACTTAAGCTTTTAATGCTGTCCGAGGTTTGCTGCTCCCATTCTGAGCCACCTGTAGCAGGCAGCAGCGACTACACCCTGGAGGAGAGCAGCGTCTGCACAGCTACATTCACCGTTACACCGGCTGCACGCAACCGGCTGGTCCTCCGGAGTCTCAACCCGTTGTCCGAAAACTCACACCGAAGACTTTAAAAAACATGTTTGTCAGTTTTCTGTCTGTCGTGTTTCTGCTGGGCGCTGCAGTCAGAGGTGGGTAAAGTTTACTTGTTACACTTGTTAGTTAATTAATTATCAAACTGATCAATAAGTGATGTTTCTACTGATTGATTTTGATTGGAATATGGTTTAAATCCTGGAAATACGTTTAAATGTTACTTTTATTTATTTTTATTTTTTTTACTAGTTTAACTGTACTCTAAACAGATTTAATCCCCATGTAAAGCCTTAAATATGCGCTGACCTGCAGCCAAAACTGTTAAAAGTACAATGGTATTAACAGCAAAATGTACAAAAAGTCTTTTATGAAGAGAAATGGACACTGTGAGTTTTATATTATCATATGTTTATGAAATATTAATACTGATTATGTGTAAGCAGCATTTCTGTTGTAGTTGGTCGAGGCAGAGCAAACTAACATCAATCATTCAGTTCAGAATATGTATTTTATGTCAAATCTGGCACTTAAATATCTTTTATACGAGTACAAAAATAACTGTTTGGCCACTTTAGTAAGTTTTAAGGTACATCTTGAATCATGACTCATGATTATTATAACCTACATCTCAGAGGGGCAACTTGCAAATAATATACCCATAATATAGAAATTAAAAGCCTATCTCAGAATATATATATTTGACTTCACTGGTAAAAAAATCTCCTTGTGCCATATATTATGTGTGTGTACGTATGTGCTCAAAGCATGTTTATTCTATTATAATGAAGTTATTTATAGAAAATGTAATATATGGTATGGTAATATACACAAATGCAGTGATATTTGTGACATTTTGTTTGGTTTATTGCAACATTATAATATATATATATATTATAATATAACATGTCAGGCTTTGTCAGGAATAGAACAATAAAGTACATATACTAGAAAATAAGAACTAAAGACGTATAAAAATGATTCATATGAACAAATAATTACATTTTTTCAGAAGGGAGACAAAGTAAAACCCAAAAAAGACACAATTTTTAGTGTAGTGAGGGAATACTATCTAGCAGCCGTTCTTTTGCCTTATTTAAAGCAGAAAGCGTCTCCTGTTTATTCAAGTTTTTGAAGAAAAAGACTTATTCCTCCTCATTCATGGGGGGGTTCCCCAAATAGTCTTAAACCCTGACTCACTGCTCCTTCGGCGTGACTCAAAGCTCTCCGTGGGTGGACAGATGCCAGCGGAGGAGGCTTCGTTCAAACAACAGCCGGCCCCCTGAAGCGCAGCACACTCCACACACAAAGTTTACCCTGTGTGCGCACAGGCAGACACCCCCCCCCTCGACAGCGTGGTGAAGCTGCCCTGAGGAATGTGGATGAGCTCTCCACTGTACAGACTGGCTAAAGCTTAGCTGTGGTCAAATCCATTTGTCACCCTTTTTTAAAAAAAAAAAAAAAAAAATTATTATTTTTGGCCGTTCTGAAGGGCATCTCTGTGATTCGAGGTCCCCATATGAATGCCTGACAGTCGCTCACTGTCATGTGCCGGAGCCTCGCTGCAAGCCTGTAGGCTGCTTGTGTGATTCCCCTCCTGTCATGTGTGTACTTGTATAGAAAACACTATACACGGAGTTGGAGGGGAGCTTGATGGAGGCTCCAGTTTGGGGGCCATGACTGAGTGTTTCTGAAGTAGCAGTAAAGATGTCCAGATGAAAAGACCTCCTGAAGGGTCGTGATCCTCCTCCTCTGAGTCTGGCGCCACTTTTTTTTATTTATTTTTTTGGTTGTAAGAAACCTTCCAGAGAGAGAGAGAGGAGAGGAGGGGCATTTAATGTGCTCCACTCTCTCTCTCTCTCTCTCTCTCTCTCTCTCTCTCTCTCTCTCTCTCTCTCTCTCAGGCCACATTAAGTTTTATCACGTCTCCTCCACCTGGTCATGTTTTGCGTGCTAGTCATCGATAGGTCATTACCAGAGCATGCGAGGGCCGCTCAGGAGTTAACGGACAGTTGTGGGAAAGTGACTCATGTAAAGCTGCAACAAAGCAGTATTCTCATTACGACTGTATTCTGTGTTAATCAGTTAATCATCTCTGTCCTCCATTTGCTTTATTTGGTCTGACTAAAACCTTGAGATATTAAAATTCACTGCTGTGTATGAAAAATAATAGTAAAGTGATTAATCGACTAATCCTCACACACATTTTCAACCCTTATTTTTAGAGATTATTCTATGTTATCAATGGTAAAAAGTACATAAACAGCTCAGGTTAGCCGTTGTTGTTCGTCCTCTCCTGCCCTCTGTTTAATATTGATCTCCTCTTCCTCATTCGACGCACATGCTCACTGACACGTATTGTTTTTACATGCACACTTGTTGCTGTTTTCTCTGCTGTGTCTTTTCTCCCTCTGTCGCCACGTCCCTGCTGCATCCTGCCGGATTAGACCTGCTTCAGGCCAGTAAATCTCACTTGGTAATTGGAAAGCATGTGCTGGCGGAGCTTTAATTGGATATGATATGTGCAGAGGCCCTGCGAGTTAGCCCCGGTTCCAAGGAGCCATCTGTTACCTCCGAGTTACAGTATGAGAGCTCTGTTTGCTCAGATACAGAGAGCTCGTTTCTGCTTCCTCTCGTTGAGGACGGCGCTTAAATTGGAGTCTGTTTGATGAAGAGGGAGGACCTACAGTATAACACAATCAGCAAGAACAAACACAGATTGAGATTAGATATCTGATCAGTTTCTTGTGTGCTGCTGTGCAACTACTTGTGCAATAGTGGCCTGACTGTGTGTGTGTGTGTGTGTGTGTGTGTCGGCGCCTTGCACATGTGTGTGTCACGTCTGTCTCTTCAGCAGCAGGAAGAGCCTCAGTCCCAGCCAAGATGAAGTGTGTGTGACAGTCCAGATGGAAGTCTTAGCAGGACAAAGAGTTTAAGTTTGCTGCCTTTATTACTCGTCTGTTAATGATACACACCTTTGTTCCTGTTGTGTTAATCGATCAGGTCACATCGCTGACTTCTGCAGGAAATCTATTAAAGGATGATAATGATCTATTAAAGGCGTTACACTCAACGCTTTAATAATCCCGTAAAGCATCCTGATAATTCTCCAGACGATACTAAATGAATAATGAAGGAATATTTACTAGGGTTTAAATGGAGCAGTTGTATCTTTTCGGGAAACACTGCTCAACAACTGCTTATAAACTCAACACAACTAACTACTGTAAACTCATAAAAACAACAGAACTTTATGTTCATTTTCTCTGTAAATGGTACCAAATTGCATAGTTATTTCCAAGGAACATGCTAGAAGAGTATTAAGAAATTACAGACCCATAAAGAATAATGTTACCAGAACACAATAATACTCATTAAAACACACAAATGAGTCAGAGAATCCCACAGAACTCAGTAAATCAACTATGAAGATAACAGCTGGTTTTGATTATTGGTTATAAGACTTCCCTTTATTTCTTTTCTGTTGTAGTCCTCAGACTTAACTGCAACTTTTTACTTGTACTCAACAGGAAAATATTGTACTTCTACTACTTTCATTACACGGATATAGTTAGTAGATAGCTGGTATCTTTGCAGATTAAGATTTAACATACAAAACACTGGATGATTAGTTCATAAAATATGTTTTTCTACACAATAGATTATATAAAGTAGTATGTACCACACATCAATAATGATAATAATACTTTAATCTGATCATATAATAATATAATTGTACTTTTGACACTTAAAGTTCACTGATTACAGTACATTGATAATACTTTATTAACATTTTGAAAGTAGGTTTTTGTTTTTTCTACTCCATTAAATAATCTGAATACAATTATATCAGAAGATTGACATGATTACCTTTGTAGGACTGTTGCATCAGACTGCAGTGAGGTGTACCTGATAAAGTGGCGAGTATAGGGCTTTTATTATTAATTAATCGGACGATTTTTGGGGGGGATTAATTGATGACTTGTACAGTCCTTAAAATGTCAGAAAATGGTGTCGTCCAATTTCTTGTTATGTTGGACCAACAGTCCAAAACCACAAGATTTTTATTATCACATAAGACAAAGAAACACTGAAACTAGTTTTGCTTAAAAAAAAGACTTTCTAACTTTTCATTTAATGATCAACAAGTTGGGAATTTATTGAGTAGTTGTCTATATACATATTGAGTAGCATATCGACACATTGCCCAGCCCTTCGCCTCCTCCCTATGAGGCCTCAGTGTATCCTCCGATCAGGACTGTTGACACGAGACTCTCAGCAGGATGACAGACTGTCAGTTAGTGAAAATAAAGGCTTCCTCTCAGTCCTGCAAGGTCACTCTTGGTGACCCGGAGTCAGCTGTGTGGCTTTGATGTGTGCACCCCCCCGAACGCTGAAGGGAACCCGTGTGTATCTGCTGGTGCACTGTGATGTTTTGTACACAGGGATGGCCACATTTAAATACCAGGAGGTCATAAAGCAGTATGTGAGAAATGTTCACTCTCATTAGCTGGGCCAAAGGGACCCAAAGTGTGACCAGCCATTTGCCGGGGACCTGAAGTGCAGTGTGCCTCCGGCATTTCTGTCTCTAATCAGCTTGTTTCAGATGTTATACTGCATTTCTAAAACACTACACACACACACACACACACACACACACACACACACACACACACACACACACATACCACTATATGTCAGCTCTCCACATGACTCCTCTGCCTCCTGATGAGATGCTGCCTTTTGGCCTCAGGCTCTTCCTGACTGTTGGGTCACAACCTGTCAGTTCGTCTCCTGCTCCACGTGCATTCTTTAATCAGGTCCGTCCTTCTCGCAGTGCCGCTGGACTTGATGAAGAACTATTTCAGGAACGCACTTTCCCCCCCCTAGCCGCAACAATAAACTGGAGCTATTTCATGGCAGCATTGAGAGTCTGCAGCTCTCTTGGCTGCTCTGGATTCTTTCAGTTGTGTCATTAATACAGACAAGGATTTATTCTCCAGGAGTGGCAGCGCAGACAGGAAATTGAGGATGTGAGCTGGGGGAACTGGATCTGACAGCCGGTCCATGAGCAGGTACTTAACAGGAGTGCTATTGT